TCTTCTGCAAAATTAAGCTTGTTGCCAATGCATCTTAGCATCAAAATAGGCTGTGATCAAGCTGCAGGAAGTGACTAGAGGGATGGAAAGAGGAGAATCTTCATGTTGCAGCAGATTTCACTCTTAAAGCAATCTCTCCCATCATGTACTTTTGTACTTTCTTGGATTTTAATAATGCCTTTAGCCAAGACATTGGATTTTCTCATGGATTCTTTTTGCATTTTCAATCATCACACCCCTAAACATCATATCAAGGGTTAACCAAGTGGTTAAGAACCAATTGGCTAGTTTGTCCGTTGGTTCATAACAAGTTGAAGTTTCATATTTTAAGCTTTGGGAGCCCAACTTCCTTCCTTCGAAACTCCTAGATCATAAATTCTATGGAGAAGTTCTTGTACTTTTTGGAAAGCCCTCATCATGCTTTACAACTTTTATGTTTTACACTTTTTCAAATTCCAAGTGGAACTAGGCAAAACATCCCCTTGAAGTTGGCTGAAAACATGACTTAGTGTTTTTCTCCTCTTAACTTGTTTTTGATCATGACAAAATCTATTCATTTTTTGAAAATGGGTCACTGTGGCACTTTTGTAGGATTAACAAGACCTTTTCAACAAGCTTTGAACCATTCCATTTGGATGTGTGGTTAGGAAGTTATGGTTTTGCCCCTTTCAAAATCCTAATTTCCCGAGTTTTCAATTACTTCTCAATTCTTGATCCAATGGTCACCAAACTTCATGATTAGATATGACATATCATTTAGAACATAATTGTCTTTGATTTTGGGTTAAAAACCTAATGTTCAATGAGTTGACTTTCCAGTCAGACGAATCGAACGATCGAAAACTCTCGAATGGACTGTTAGTGTTCTGGGTTCCATGAGGCCTTGAAACTTCTTGGGGGACTTCAATAATTCGTATAAGCTTTATGGGCCATAATTCCACCATTGAAATGCCATTTAAACTAAAATTCAAACCACAATTGACTTTCCTGATCAAAAACCCTAATTGGGGGTCTTGGACTACATTGCCCTTCTTCTTTGGGTGACAACCTCAAATTGGATTCATACTTGATCCAATATAGTATTATTGATGTTGTAGGGAGTTGCTTCATAGATATTCAATCCAACACCTTGACTGATCAAACCATAGAAACCCCGATTCCCGACTATATGTAACCCTAATTCATCTGCATCTTGACAAAGATCAACTTGAAATAGGTTAAAGTTAGATAAACAATGATGATGCTCATAGAATGATGATGGAATCTAGGGGTCAAATTTTGGGGTATGACAACTTCATCTAATCCCAAAAGCATTTCTCTTCAACGCACCTCACATTGGCCCTTATGCCCCCGACTCCTGAATTCAAACAACAACAAAAAACACATGGGACTTGCATGTCTAGGCATGCATCTTTACAGTTCTTGTACCCTATTTCCTCATCTAACACCCCCTGGCAGAGTTTAAATTATTTCTTAATTATCCTTAACAAATTCTTTTTAGCATTTATTTTTTAACACATTCAGAAGACATTTCAATAGATTGTAGATTTAACATAGTTAGTTAGATTTATTAATTCTAGACTAGGATTAACCTTTAGATTAGAATTAATACCCCTAATTAAAATAGATTATAATTAATACAAATTAGGGTTATATGTTGGCACTAACTTTGTTATTTCTTTCTTTTAACCTTATCTTCATAATGTCATGGTTTTTGATATGTATAGCTTGACCTAATTATTGGCATGATCCCCTTTGTTTATTTGATTATTTGATCAAACATACTTTTGATTAATTAATTAGATTAATAACTTTAGGACTTCTTAGTATGAATTTCAAAACAAATTGCATGATCCATTAGGGTTTTTATTCAATTAGGTGATTACAAGTTCTTTGATCACTTAATTTGAATTAGATCTTAAGACCTGCACCACACATAACCCCTTAAGTCAATCCTAAGTCCATTAACATGCAAAACCCTAGAAATAGGTGACCATCAAGACATTAACACATTAGACTCTACTCCCATTCTCTGATACCATATCTCACTCTTTCAAACATACTTTTGTTTATCCATTTAGAACTGAAACTCTTTTTTAAACCTCAAAACACTTAATAGTCATGATGTAAATTATGCACAATGAGCCTTAAGGAACAGAGAAGGAATAAGAAAGAGTATTCTTATCCTTATTTTGAACATCTTTGGATACGGGACGCATGACCCAATTGTTCAAAGTATCACCCGTATTCATAGATTTCGGTGCAATTGAAATCAAGACAATTGTCAACATCACCTTCAGGCTAAAATAACAATCAACATCAAAAATACCATTCTCTTTGAATCCAACATAACACTTCTTTGTTTTGACACTTTTACTCTTGCATGTTTGCCTTGTTAATCCCATGGTTTATGCAAACCCTCTTGCATGTGTGCCTTGTTAATTTCTTGGTTTAGGCAAACCCTTGTTTGCCTCGTTAATCCCTTGGTTTAGGCAAACCTTTATCTGCCTTGATCCCCTGGCTCAAGCAAACCCCTATGACACCTGATTCTTGGTTAGGACACCACTTCATTGGTTTAAACACCACACATTGGGTTCAAATACCACCTTCACAAACCTTTATAATTCATGGTCCAAATAACAATTTGTTTTCATAAAAGAATTTTTTTAATTCATTCCTTAGCAGTCAGACCAAAAGCTTAGAGTATCCGAACTAGGATCAAACAACTAACGTCAAAACACTTCTAAGATACAATTATAAAAGTGTTATCTAAAATCAACCACAATCACTTATTTTTTACTCCACGAACTATGAATATTTGATTTTCTTATTGCACTATGAGAATACGTAAGCACAAGATTTCGAAATTTTGACGATCACATTAATTAAAAACTAATTTTTCTCTTAATTAAAATCAATCACAAGTAACCATTAGATAATAACATTCATCCACACAAAGAACAATCAAAATGGTTCCCGTTGAATACAACAGATGTGAGAGATGATAATACTTTTTTCTTACATAACCGATTTTTGTACCCTTTTCTCTTCTCTTAGGGTTTTATTGATATTTTCTCTTTCTCTTAGAATGAATAAAATTCAGTAACAACTCTGTTGTATTTTCAAGTGTGCGATACGCTTAGATATTTTTCGCGTCACGATAATATTATGTTAGGGATGAATAAACCATTATAAGAAGATTGAGAGCATGAGGAAAATAAATAAATAATAGAGTCATAAGATTTCCTAGTGAAGTGTATTATAATTCATTACATTATAATGCATTAGTTAGTTACTTGGAGATGAAGTTAGTTAGATTTTTTAACTAATTTCTCTATATTAACCGTCAATTTAATTAACTATCTTATTTAGATAGTCTGATTATATATATATATATATATACATATATATATATATATATATATATATATATATATATAAAATAAGGTGATAGATCTCTATTTATAGATAGTTGAATTCATACACTTAAGCTAACAAGTAACTTTACTAAATTGATCACAATTTTTTTTTTTTAAAGTGTTGATTTATAAACATCAATAATCACTTATATCTGGAGTTAAACCCTGAACATACAGAAAATCTCTAACTCAACTAACAATTATCAATTAAGCTACCCCATCCATCCTCATAATCAAATTTTATTAATCACAAAGATTGTAAATGAATAAATATGATATGTCTAAAACCTTTCTTTTTAAATGAGTATAAATTAGAATGATATCAATAGTCATTTTCGCTCCATGCTGTTTCTTGTACTGTATTAAGGTGACCATATCAAACACTCATCATGTTAAATTATACACTTGAATTTGTTTGTCATTTTAACATGAATTTTATGAATGTTTGATGTAAATCATATGTGGGTTTGATTCATGCCATTACAAATATCAAACATGCATTAGTTGGAATGAGTGAGTTAGTAGTTGGTGCACCCCTCCAAATTGTTGCCAACTCATCTTTAGAGCTTGAAATCTTTGACCCATACAAAAGTTCAAACAGAACCTACAAAAAAAAAGAGAGAAAAAGTTCCCAAACAAACAAACAAAAGCCAAAGCAAAAGCGTTCCAACATATCACCATTATTCCTCCATCGAAAACCGAAGCAGTTCATTTTTCATGTTTTTGGACCCCTCACTCTCTCATAAGCCGAGCCGAGCCAAGCCAAAATTAGTGGACCCCATAACCACTAATAATTAGGTGATCAGTGAAGCAGTCCACATGTGATGTGAGGTCTCCACCTCCACGCGACAAATCCCTCACGCGCGTGCTGATCGTGCATGTCTTCCGTAGATTCCGTGAGCCTCCCCACACGCTACCATTATTATAATATTAAAACCGTAAAAACAAACTCTGATCCATTTCATCATTGTTTCTTTCTTTTCTTTCATAAAAAGATGTGTTGATTTGTTTTCTACTATTTCTTCGAATTTCTAATTTTTATTTTTTAATAATAATAAAACCAAATCAAAACAAAAATAAAATAATTAAAAATCTATTTTATAAAATAAACTTTAAATTTAAATTCAAATTATTTTAATATTTTATTTTTAAATTCAAATAGTTTAATCTTTCTCTCACGTTTTTCATAAAAAATTCTTTAAAAATTCATTTTTCTAACTTATATTTTTTAATTATGATGTTTAACAAATAATTTATTTTCTAAAAAAATGTAAAAAAATATGAGATAATCAAATTTATTCAAATTTAAAATAAAATATTAAAACTATTTAATTTTAAAATAGATAATTGATTTTGTAAATGATGTAGAATAGGAGATTAAAATTATAATTAAATTTAAAAATAAAAAATAAAAAGAAGAACAAAGAAAGAACTCTAGAAGTAGAAGAAAACATTTCATTTTTATATCAATAGCAACAACGAGTAAGCGCATTTCTCGTGAGTCTATTTATTCTGTCTTTGCGTTTGGGGGTGTAAATCACCTACGACGCGTTCCACAGCTAGACCTCTGAGTCTGTGTGAATGGGTTCTGACGGAGCAACTTCGGCGGCGAACAGTCGGAGGAAACCGTCGTGGAGGGAGAGAGAGAACAACAGGAGGAGAGAGAGACGGAGGAGAGCGATAGCGGCGAAGATTTACGCGGGATTGAGGTCTCAGGGGAATTATAATTTGCCTAAACACTGTGATAACAATGAAGTCTTGAAAGCTCTCTGTGTTGAAGCTGGTTGGACCGTTGAAGAAGACGGCACTACCTATCGAAGAGTAACAATTCTCTCTCTCTCTTCATTTTTTTTTTCAATTAGTACTTTTTTTTTGTTCATGGAGATCTTCATTTTTTTCCTTCTTTATTGATGATTTTGCATCTTGATACTTACTGTTGGATTCAAATCATGCTATAATTGGTTTGGTTTTTAATTAGATCGAAACTGTTTTTTTTTTTTTTTAAATTTAATTTTGATGGAATTTTTTCTAGTTTTTTTCAGTCAAACGAGTTTTAGAATCGGTGCTTTTTAGTCAAATGAATTTCAGAATCTCTACTTTTTCAATTTTTTTGTGTGTTGTGTTTTTAAGAGTGAGAAATTTGTTGCTGCTTTGTTCAATTAAAGTAAGGTATGTATGTTCTATGCATTCAATTATGCTACATTGGGATCAAAAAGGAAAATCTTCTGTCTGAAATTGAATGCATTGAAATAACAATCTAGTCTCTAGAGTGATTGTGATTGTAATTGTAATTGGTGCTGTGTTTGAACAGTTTAATCTATTTTGGATCTACTTGTATTGGTTTATTTGAACTTATTGTCTACTCACATAAGCACTTATGGAATGGTTTGGTGGAAGAACTTGTTATGATAACATTTTCTAACATTTTCTTAAGTGATTTTTCTACTTCTTTACTCTTTAAGAAAGCTTATCATTTATTATAGAAATAACTTGTATATACTATATAAGCAGCACTTAATATAAGTGTTTATATTATAAGCGCTTAATTCAGTTGTTTTTTTAAGCATAAATGTATATGAAAAGACTATGTTTTGGGCTATGACAATTATTCTTTCTGACTGAACAATAAACAGGGATCAAGGGCAGCAACATCAGGTGATGGAGCGGGAAATTGTACCAGAAACAACCTATTTTCGTCGCAAAATCCAAGTCCTCTTTCGTCGTCATTTCCAAGTCCGATCCATTCCTACCAAGTTAGCCCCTCCTCCTCTTCGTTTCCGAGCCCGACTCGTATGGATGCAAATAATAACCCATCAAACTTCATTCCATATGTTCGCAACATTTTCCCCAATATGTCTCTCCCGCCTTTAAGAATATCAAACAGCGCACCTGTGACGCCACCTATCTCATCACCAACCTCGAGAAATCCCAAACCCATGATCCCCACATGGGATTCAATCGCCAAAGCATCAATTACATCCTTCAATCACCCTTTCTTTGCAGCTTCCGCACCGTCTAGCCCGTCGCACCGTCACCTCTATACACCACCTACTATACCTGAATGCGACGAGTCTGATACTTCTACCGTCGAGTCTAATCAGTGGTTGAACTTCCAAGCCTTTGCTGCTTCTGCTAAATCATCGGTCTCTCCTACATTGAACTTCCTGAAACCTGTAATTAATGAGCAGCATAACATGCTGCCTGAAAACAGAATGCAAGAGATGAGGATTTCAGAGCCGGAGTTCGGAGCGCAGGTGGTGAAGCCTTGGGTTGGAGAAAGGATTCATGAAGTTGGATTGGATGATTTGGAGCTTACTCTCGGAAACGGAAAAGCGCCTAGTTAATGAAAACTAGTATATGTTCGAGTTGTATGGGTTCATTTCTTTTGAGAAATAGAGAGGATCTGAGCTCTTTTATTTTATGATTGAATCTATATCCAAAACTCTCATTGATTCCCTTTTATTAACATATAATTTATAAATATCTTTCAATCTCTTAGGATTTTAAACATATATACAAATATACTATAGAATTGTTATTTGATTTACTGTGTTGTTTTCTTTGATTTTCACATCCTTTAATTTCCATGGATATACCCAAAAGAAGAGTTCCTGGTATACTAATGAGTAATGACCTAAGGTTACATGGTAGCCTTGTTAACTTCACCAATTAAAAGTGTTCAGATATGTCTTTTTAGCAAAACAATGCAACTGATTCTGTTTTTACTAAGGAAAACATTAAAGACATATGCACAAAACCCAACTTCTAAATTTTAGGTAGAATTATGACAGGTAAAGCACAAACAGACTTCTGGATTCTGTAGTACTTTGATTAAATGATCTTTATATTTTGAGACAAACATGGAGGCACCTTTTACATTTTATGAATAGATGAATATACTATGTTAATTGCTCAAATTTTAACTATTGGTACAGTAGATCATTTTACTGACTTGGAGTTAACTATAGTGAACACATTTCAATTTCTCACTTTTAATCTAAAATATTTATAACCATAGTCATTTTAAGAGAATGTGCCATTTGCTTTGAAAAATGGCTCTACATAAGTCTCGAATATAAAATGAAAGAGATAGAGATAGAAAAACAGATTTCTTAGTGTTTTTATTATGTATTGATTTATTCATCTTTATCATACATTGACAAGTAGAATGTACCGAATATATCTTAAAATCTGAGTTTATTTAATTGAAAAGTAGAATGTGGGGAATATATCTTCAATATGAGTCTATGTAAATTGAAATTGGGTTCCTTTTGAAAAAATACACAATTTTCTTTTTTGTTTCACTCAATTTCATTAAGTTTTGAGCAAGTTATAATCCTTCATGCAAATCTGCCTAGATTATGTGTAAGTTGCCTCGAGTTTTTGCCCTAGTTTGCCCCATTTTGGACCCCATTTTCAAAAGTGCATAACTTCTTTGATTTTTATCATTTTGATGTCAGTCTTTTTGCTAAATGCTCCTTGATATGTCTATTTTCAATTTGTGGATGAAGAATTCAAGAATTATTATTTTTGAAACACTCTGGCTCACTTAAATGACATGACCTTTTTTAGGGTTTTCCCTTGTTTTCATGAGTTTCTTTGGCTTGGTATTTGATCTTCCTTGTATGTTTTATCATGTATGAATCACTTTTGGATATGTAACATGTTTGTATGTTTGAAAACATTTGGTCCTTTTCTTTACCATGCTTATTCACGTCTTTGTAAATGTATGAACATGAAAACCTTGCCTTGAAACTTTTGTTGATTTGTAACATGCTTCTTGATGTTGTAACCTCTTGAAAATGATTTCTTGACATCATCTTACTTGTTTATGTGTCTTGTTAGAACCATAACATGTTTAGGGTTTGATCCTTGCCTTTTTAAATGCATGAATGTGAATGTATGATTTGAAACTTCTCTGTGAATCCTGTTTCTGGATGTTGTAACCTCTTAAGCATGCCCCTATCTCATCTTGCCTTGTTTAGGTGTCTTGTTAGAGCCATAACATGTGTTAGGTTTTATTCTTACCTTGTTTGTTACCATGATCTTGTTTACATTCCCCTATGTGAAGTTTTAATCCATGTTTGAATTGTTGTCACTCTTCTTGCTTATCCATGATTGATTGTCATCAATATGCCTTAAAAATAATTGAATGTTGTTACATTTATCTTTGTTTGATTCATATGTCAAGTTATAACTTGTATGAATGAGTTTTGTTTATTTACCATTGATGAACTTGTTGTGGTCACACATGTTTTCATGTTTGCTTTTGTTGGTTGTTACCTTCATAATCTTTGAACTTTGTCATGACAAGTAATGTCTTGACTTGTGCTTGATGCTTGAAATGTTAGGTCTTGTAACAACCTTTATCACCATCCCCTTTTTAGATGTTGTAACATCTTTGGCTATCTTTGATTGTAACCATTTGGTTTGATTCTTTCATTGTTATGCTTCCCCCGTATTGTTACATGCTTGTCCTAAATCTTTTTTTGTTGTTATCATGTTCTTCTTTTATCTTCGTCATGCTCGAATGAATGCTTATGTGTGTTTTAGCTTTGTTAAGTTTCTTTCCCCAAGTGATGAAGCCTGTTAGTTCTCATTCAGTTGCCTTGTTATTCCCTTATTCCAAAGGAAAGTCTCTCTATTGACTTCGCTCTCATAGATAGCTCATCACCTCTCCCCTTGACTTGGTTATGTCATTAGGTCCTTTAACTTAGTTAAGTTAAAACCTATATCCATTAGACTTTACATTAAGTCTAGAGGACCTACCCCTTGTTAGGAGTATCCTTCAATTATAACTTTAAGATAGAGTTTGTTAACTATATGTAAGGATCATTGTCATAATTACTTACTCCCCTCTTGACTTTTATCAAAGTCAATCCCCTCAAGTGTTAAACTTAGATCTAGAGAGTTTTGTCAAACTCTATGCAAACATTGTTATGTTTGTTCCCCTTGGAGTCTTGCCATAGTCAATTACCCCTCAAAATTATAAGGAGAACTACAGTTGCTCTGATTCCATCCTAGTCAGGATACGTAGGCACAAGATGCAATATCTTTGCGAGCAAACTTAGAAATTATCCTTAGGTATTTACCTAGAAATTTACCCTATCCTTGATTCAATAACCCTAGCAGACTACTTAGATAACTTAGCATACACACACACACAAAAGGTTCCTATAGAGTATTACAGATGTCTAGGATGTGAAACACCTACCCTAGGCATAACCTACCCCCGATCCTCGAATCTTTAGCGTTGTTGTTACATTGCGCAAAAGGTTTTCTTTCTTTAACCTTTCCTTTGGATTAATCAAAGTTCGGTGGTGAATTTCAATGAATTAAGATTCAAGTTAATCAATAACTTGACATCCGATTATCACCGCAACAGAAATGACGACTTCACCGGGGACTTCTTTTCTTTGCTTGAGGGTTTAGCCCACTTTGTGTGTTTATATGCTATATCTCTGTATGCCAATACCTGTATATTTGTGAATATATAACTGTGTTATTTTCATTGGATCTCTGAGTGATATCTTGAATGGTGAGATAAGTCCTAACCCGGACTTGAGTGCACATATGATAGGATGTGGTATGATCAATAGTTGACTGTTGGGAGTAGTCCTAACATGTTTGATATATGATGTAACCATGCTCAGTCGAGACCTCATTGAGATAATTGATGATGTATGAGTAGTCATACATTTCATTAGTTGTTTTAACTTGAGAGTCCGTGAAACTGAGGACCTTTAGTTACCCACTTACCCCACTTGGACTTTTTAGAACGTAGTGCAGAGACTATGAGGGAGTAGTCCCGAAATAGTTGTTACGCGATACTACACTCAGATGAGTCTATCCCAAGAATATTTTTGACCCACGTGAGTAGTCATGTTGGTTAATAATATCCAAAGGATTTATCTATGACTCTGGGAACTCTTGATAGAACCCATTCTACAGGTACAATGAAAACCTTAGTACATGTCCTTTGGAAGGATATACCCTGGCTTCATGCTTGTAACCCCGAACCTAGGATCTTTTCTTGTTAGAATTTGCATGTGTGTGTTGTGTGTGCATCATATCATTATGTCATCATAGCATCTCATCTTGGTGCACTGGTTTTGTAAAACTCAATCATTTTCTTTTCGCGAAACCCTAATTATCATGGATTTTAGAAAAAGAAACACTAAGAAATATAACTTTCAAGAAATGTGATACATTGGAGTTGAGAAAGCAAGGGACAATGGTATCTGAAGACTTTGGGAAGACATATGGAAAGTTTCTGAGCATTGTGAAGACTAGGATGGAGGAAGGGGTTCTCAACACCTTGGTTCAATTCTACGATATGTCGTACCACTGTTTCACCTTCCTAGATTATCAGTTGATGCCAACATTAGAAGATTTTTCCTACTTTATCGGGATTCCCGTGAAAGATAAGAAACCATTCAGTGGTTTAGAGAAGTTACCTTCGCCGAATGAAATTGCTGACATACTCCATCTAGAAGTATCTAAGGTCAAAGCCAATCATACTTCAAAAAATGGGGTCAAGGGTTTCCATTCTGCTTACTTACTGAAGAAGACTACTTACCTTGTCAAGGAAGGTAGTATGGACGCATTCGAAGTAGTATTGGCTCTACTGATATATGGTTTGGTGTTGTTCCCAGAGGTAGAAGAATTTGTCAATTCAACTGCCATCACCATATTCTTGAATGGTAATCTGGTTCCCACTTTGTTAGGTGACATTTATCACTCCATTCATCACAGGACTCTTCAAGGTAGAGGAACTATTAGCTGTTGTGCACCCTTGTTATACAGATGATTTGTCAATCATCTATCAAGGACAGATGCTTTCAAAGAAAATCCTAATGGTTGGAGATGGTCTCAAAGGATTATGTCTCTAACTCAAGTAGACATTCATTGGTATGATCCTGCCTACGACCGAGGAGTCTACATTGATAGTTATGGTACTTTTTCGAATATACCGCTATTGGGAGCACAAGGGGGGATCAATGAAGGATAAGCCTAATAACATCCTCTTGGTTGGTTTCTTCTACCTCAACACCGAAGCAGAGGAAAGTTTAAGAAACAGTACAATCGATGCTTGGAAGAACATCCGGAGAAAAAACAAAGTTAACCTTTGAAAGAGGAACTGCGTAGCTTTTGAGCCATTCACTCGGTGGGTCCAATCTAGAGCTCGTGATCTCAAGATTCCTTACCTTCCTAAGAAAAATATGCAGATTGTCATCGCGTCATCTTCTTCCATTCCCATTGAAAATATGGAAGAATACCAAGAGGTTCTTGAGAGAACAAAGCTTGAAAGGGATACATGGGAAGGAAAGTACCATACTCTTCA